GTTGGTTTGGTTTTTTTTTTTGGTTGGTTGGTTGTTTTTACATCCTTGCTGGTAACTTCTCCCTCTTTTATAAAAAAGTCACTTCAGATACTTTAGATTTGGTAGTGCATTGTTCTTACCTAGCCATAAATAGATAATGATCAAAATATAGGAAGACAGAATAGATACGGACCCCTCCCCAAATTTGTACTTCATTTGCTGTTTTGTCTGTTAGCTTCTTAAAAGAATAGTTACGTATGTATGAGCTTTGTCTCATTTATGCAATGTCCAGTGTTATTTTGGAGTTTCAATGAATGTATACATGAAGAGAAATAAGTAATAATAACCTAGTAATGTTTTAACACCAGCATTGTGTTCATTAAACAAGTGTTTGTCTCCATCTTCTTTGTCTACTTTTTTTTATGGACACATATTTCTCATGTAGTATTATATGGAAAACATCTTGACTTTTAAAAATAAAGAAGAATTATGGGAGAGCTTCCCTGAATGCCAAAATTCTCTTCGCAAAAAGCCAGAAGAAGGTAGCAGTGGTAGAAGCACAACAGACTGTTATCTAGAAGTATTAGAAGCACATCAGACTTATCTAGAATTGTTCTTCAAAATTAATATGAGGAATTGAAATGTAAAAGAATAGTTCAGTCCTAATCATCTGTTGGGTGACAGCTACAGTTACCAGTTGGTGCCGAGTTCTGAGGAAATTTCTACTATATGGTGTCCATGCCACCTCTAAGATGAGTGGTAAAATTTTTGGTGTCGTCAGGTTAGGTCCCAAAGTTATTAGAGTTCCTCCTGTAAATTTCAATTGCATGCCATGATTTGGATGCTGATCTGAAAAATGTCTGGGAAATTTCAATATAAATACTTTAGTAGCCTGATGTTTGATGACAATTTCAATCATTTGATGCTATTTATGTTAGAGCATTGAAAGTACCTTGAAAAAGAGTATACAGTTCTGAGAAAAGCATAGAAATCTGTTTCTTTAACTATACATTGTGAAATGTTGCTGAAAATACTACAGCTGAAGTGCGCTTACAGGTCATTCAAGACTATGGTGGAGTATTGATTAGACTGAGTATGTATGGTGATGACTGTATTCAGTGGAGGTCAGATATCTTCAGCAAAGACTAAGTAGGAAGTGGGCAGCTACAGTCTGAGGCATAGAAAAATTACTGTGGCTGGTGAGCTCAGATAGCAATGTCAACAGTGCTAAAACTTGAAACAACGGAGCCAGCATTAATCTAAATGGTAAAGGCAGCAATTTTGTGGAATTTGTCATGTTGGAATTTAGCCATTGTACAGTTAGGCATCTCAATTTCAAGTAGGCACTGTTCCAGAGCAGTTGATCTCCTTTCTCTTATGATCACTCATGCTCTGGAAACATTTCTTGCTTCCTACTTACTGTGGATTGAACTCAGAATAGACAGCTAAGATTAGGTCAGATTAATACCAGTCCAAATCCTTGGAGAACATTAGGAACAGGTTGTTGGAGGATTAAAAATGTAAATAAAAGCCCCACATGTGAAAACTTTTGTTTTTAAACCAAGTTTGGGGCAAACATTAGGGATTTATACAAGTCACTATGCCCGTTTGAACATGTTAAAGTTGGACTTGGGAAAAGAATTGGACCAAAAAGCAATCATGAGTGGCAAAGGAGTTACGTGCAATTGGAGCACAGAGTATAGACGGACGTTTTGGAAACAGAGCAGACTTGAAGGCAGGCATTTTGGTGCCACTGTCCCAAATGAAAAAAGAAAAAAAGGAAAGGGGAAGGAAGTAAAGAGCAGAAAATCATGAATTCATACTTTTGCTTTCCATTAATTTAACAGTCGGCGAAGCGAGAAGAGCAAGCTGGTGGTAGGAAAATTCAGCACATGGAAGGGTGTATAGTATTGACTGCAAGCATGATTATGGAAATGGTAGAATTATGGTGTAGCGAATAGAACATAGAATTGATGATCTTAAAGGTCTTTTCCAACCTAAACAAGTCCAACTGTGAACCTAGCACTACCAAGTCCACACATGCAGGGATGAGAAGTGAACCTTCCTTATAAAGGAATCTTGGGCTTGCTAAGGAATAATAATTTCCATGTGGAAGCAAACCAAAATTTTTTCACCTAAATACCTTAGTAGCAGCCCAGGAAAGACAGTAATATGCTTATTCAAAGGCCTGAATGACAGAGCAGAACCAGGAGAGGGAGAAAACAGTTGCAGGAAGGCTGTAGCAGTTGCATTTGACAAGATTTATCACCTTTTTCTTTCTTTGAAGGAGAGAGAAAATTGAGCAGAAAGTGATGCGTTGGTAGTCAAGCAGTGTGCTAGCAGGTCAGAAGAGGTGGGCTTTTTTGTACATGGGTCAGCTGTCATTCTTAATAGTGTTAGGTGGGCTTGAGATTTAAAATTAGAGTGAATTACACTTTTTTTTTTTTCTTTTCCTACTGGTAATTCAGCCTTTTGGTGGCTTTGGAAGATGCATTTGCATTAAAGGTGTGAATTCACAGTTTCTCTGAACCAATAAATCTCTTTTGGCAACACTCCACACTTCATCTTCCCCATTCCATTCCAAGAACAAAACCTACTCTTTTGTCCCAGTGAGAACATCTCTGCTGCAAAATGAACTGTGGATCAGCATCAGCAGAAAGTCAAAGTGACAAATGTAACAAAAATGGAGGGAGGATGGGGGTAACACAGTGCTGTAGGGTCTCTGACCTGGTGTACCCTGCAGGTGCACGAGCGCTGCTGCTGACGAGTACCTGCCCTGCCAGGGGCACCTGGCTCTTGCTGTCACGTGAGCCTGAAGCCACAGCTTTAGTCACACCCAGACACGCTAACACATTTAAAGGGAATATTTTAAAATAATATTTTTTAAAGCTGGTTATGCTGTTAGAATTAAGTCTTTCTCTCGATCATCTTAAATATTTGAAAATTACAACTGAGAGCTGAATTTCCCACATTGCCAGAGGATGGTGCTGGACTATTCAAGTACAGAGAAGGAACTCAACATTTAATTACTTTTAAAATTTGTACTAATTGGCCTGTTGATTTATTTTTTTTTTAGTTGAATGAACTACAATTGGTCCATTATTTTTTTTTTTTTTTAGCCATCAGAGCCTTGTGCATAACTGCAATGTTGTGTATGGTTTTACGTATTAATGTTTTGTGTTGCATATTATCGTAACTTCCCTCTTCCTCTCCTGGCCGTATTACTAGGTTGACTTATTTTGGATTCCTGAGCATCCATGAAGCTTTCATTTTTTTTTTTTTAAGGACTGCTTTAGGATGGAGATTGCAAGCAATATCAAGGGGAGCAGTAGCACAAACAATTCTTTGCTTGAAAATCTGAAACTGGGGCCTCCACTGTGCAGATAATAATTTATTGTATGGCTGATAAAATTCAGTGGAATCTAATCTGAAGAAAAACAATGTCTGTCTTAGTGATGCCTCATGAAATTGTTATGTAGGCCAGTAACAGATACATTACTTACTAAATGTTTAGCTAGGGGTATGGAAGAACAGAGTTTTGAGTTTTAAGTTACGTGCTAACTAGATTTTGTGGAAACCTCTTTAACTTCAGAGTATTGTTGTTTATAAACCGTAGAGGAACTTTGGTTAGCTAAATAATTGGAATCTAAAATTATTGTCAAACTACTAAAATAATGAAAATATAAAAGTTATTTACATTAAAGGGTTCTGATTTGATACATAGAGAAGTGATTCTGTTTGTGACTTCAAACAAAAAAACTACCAAACTTTTTTGGGGAAAAAAACCTCAGCTTGTCCTCGATTCAAGAGAGTCATTAAGGAGTCTCAGTTGCTTTCTGCTCTTGTTTTGCAAAATGCTTCAGTGGAATTAATTAAAATTGATGCCATAAATTTCTTTTTTTTTTTGCTGACCATCTAGAAATGGGCAATTTTTAAAGACTTAGTGAAACAAAGCAGATACGTTCTGGGTGTTAACACCCAGCAAACAATTGAAAATAGTGTAATTATCAGCCTACATGAGTGAGACGTAACTGTGTAGTGGTAATGATTCTTCAATACTCTTAAAACCATAAGCTTTTAAAATGTAGAATTTTTTTTTTTTTCCCAAGGCTTGTTTAAAAATGTCATAATCTTCCTTTGCATTAAGGCTGCACGATGTGACTGTTGTAAGTCTCAAGGAACTCTCAAAGAGAAAGTACAGTGGCGTGGCGAAATGAAGCACTTTTGTGATCAGCACTGTTTGCTCCGTTTCTACTGTCAACAAAACGAACCAAATCTGGCAACCCAAAAAGGACCTGAGAACTTACACTATGGTATGTCCTGCTTTATGGCTGCTAAACAGCAAACAAGATGCTTCCTTTAAATGAAAAATTTAAAGCTGCATGAATTATTGATTTGTTGTAATAAACCATGCTAGAGATTACCCTTTTTTATTTTATCATCAGAGGCATCATTGAGCTGCTTGCTGGTTTTTATGTTAGCTCTTTATTTTATTGCTTTTTCGAGAGCTGAAACATTGTCAGGTAATCAGACAGTTTTGTAATCACTTTTAAAAAACAAATCTTTTTAGGTTAAGCATAATTTTAGTGTTGCGTCTTCATGGGGACAGAAAAGGTTTTTCTCTTTCATTGTGCTCTGGTTCGTCACTACTTGCTCTGTGGAAATGCTTCTTTTCAAAATGGGTTTTGGTCACAGCAGATAAATGCACTAGGAATGAAAAAAGAAATTAAATGGAATTAAAAGGAAATAAATGAAATGGAAACTAAATGAGAATGGAATGAAAGTATCTAGATAAGAGGAATATATTGTGGGGTTTTTGTCGTTGGCAATAGGTACCGTGTAAATTTGCTGATGGGGCTGAATGCATGTTTGTGTGGGTTAAATGGCAAGTCAGGCAAAGTTTAGATAAATCATCTTTTTAAGTAATTATAGCAACACAGCTTCTCTGTATGGCCATTTTCATATTTGAACATTGGTATTTATTTTTCTGAGAGGCTATATTCACATTTGGATGGAGCATTGATTTAGTGTTTGCGTAAGGTCCAATGCCAGAGTAGCAAGGTGCCTGTGAATGAGAAGTCTTGCGTGCAGTTCTCAGCTGCGATACAGTAGTAATAGGTGCTGTTAATTTAATGTTATCCTGATGATAGATGTTGTCTGAGTTGCTTATTGAAATTTGCTTTGATTCTGAAAAGGGGAAAAAGTTTTCTAAAAATATTTTCTTACATTTTTAGATCAGGGCTGTCAAACCCCCCGAACAAAAATAACGGTAAGTACATATATTTAACATATCTATAACTAATTAGATGTATTTAAAATGTGAGATCCTGGTGCCTTAAAGGGATGGTATTAAAAAACCCAAAAAATTAGTATCTTTGAATGATGCTAAGCTAAATTTATGGAGTGTTTTAGATTTTTCACATTAGTAGTTGAAATTAAATTGTAAAATATTCGTATTTTGTCTTTTCAATGTCTTCTGGGAAAACAAATCATCGGCCATCTATTTTACATCTATAGTGCATGAAAGCCTTGCTTAAAAGTTAATCCACAACCTATGTGTACCTTATTTATGTGTTTAGACTGATTAGGTGGATTTATTGAGTGTAGAAAGGGAAGAGAATTTCATTGGTCAATTAGAATATTATGGTTGTGTCTGAGCTTTGAAAGGCTGAAAATAAAGCTTCAGATCTTCAGTTGTAATTCCCAAGAGTAGAATACTTGGTGCTCGAGGTCTGGTTGACTTCGCTGCAGGTGATGGAGTAGGGAAGCGTAACCTTTTGCAGGATTGCTGCCTGGGAGTGCTGAGATCACGAGCAGAGCAGCAGCCTTCGTTTTGAGTTTCAATTTTTGTCAGCTTGTCAAAAGCATTATTATTAATAATTTTTTCGGTTGGCTTAGTGTATTTTCTTTGAAACTTAGTTTTGTTTTGATTTGTTTGTCGCATGGAAGAACTCAAAGTGCTTATTTTTCCATGAAAAAATTGACTCGCCTTTTTAATGCAAATAGACTTCTGTAAGGTAAATCTTGGATTTAAGTGAAAGTATTTTGATGGCATTATAAAACATATTAATGAAAAAGGAAATAAGATTTTTCAGGTAACTAGAGACATCAGACAAGCTAAACTGTCATGTTAGAAACATCTAGTATTTTATATTTAACAGTTTCCAATGATGTTAATTCAGCCCATACATTTTTAATGATCATATAAAAGCTGTTTGTGATACAATTCTTTTAATATATTTTAGAAAGCGTAGGCCTGTTAAGTAGTCTACTGCTGTTCTTAGGACTTGACTATTTTCATATTTAAAAGGAAATGTTGAGCTAGTCTGACTACATGTGACCAAAGAAAAGTGACAGTCTGTTTCTTAAATCAAGTTCTAAAACAGGTACTAGGGGGCAGAAAAAATAATGTCTGGAACAAGAGGGGTTTTACCTGGTGACTGTAAGGATGCAGTTTGAGCATTCCGTGATGTTCCCAGGTATTTGTTGTCAGCATTGTAGAGCCAGCAGGGGGAGCTCAAAGTTCATACTTTTCATACTTGAGGTATTAAAAAATTGTTTAGAGAGAATATTTTATTTAGAAATACTTTTTTTTTTTTTTAAATGTGATCTTTGGATTACAGCATAGTTCAAGAAAGTTAGACCTTGAGCCAAAAATTTGTTATGCTACTTGTAGTGAATTCTTTTTATAGCTAAAATTATTTTAAAGCAATAAAAGAGCTTAAATTGTACTTTCATTTAAACAAGAAAGATAAAAAAGAATACCTTAAGAGTATCTTCAAATAAAAAAAAAAAAAAGGAAAAGCAAAAATGAGCCAGAAGTTGTTAATGGAAGTGCTAGCCCTGACTGAGCAAAATACAACTGTTACATTCCTGGCAGTGGCAGCTCATTACTAGAACTGTAGGGATAGCTTGCAATTAAAGAATAATAGTTGGTGGTGTTGTGTTGTTGTGAGCTTCCTCTTCAGAATCTCATATATGGAAAGTATCAACTGATAACATTAATTCAAGAGCTTTGTGTTGAAATCAGTGTGGTATAACAGCACTTCCTCTTTTATTTGCTTGTCTGCAGGGCTCAGCACCACCACCTTCTCCAACACCTAACAGAGAAATGAAGAACAAGGCAGTTCTTTGCAAGCCTTTGACAATGACAAAAGCCACATACTGTAAACCTCATATGCAGACAAAGTCATGTCAGACAGGTAACTCTTGAACTGTACTGGAACTACTAACTTCTTCAATGCAGATTTTTTTTAACTGTTATTGTCTTGGAACATATTGCAAATATTCTGATTTTTTTTCCCTAAACTGCAGGTGTAAAATATATTTAAGTACCTGGCAGTGTTTGCCTTTTTCTTTTTTCTTTTAATAGAAGATGATTGGAAAAAAGAGTATGTCCCAGTGCCTATTCCTGTACCCGTCTATGTTCCGGTGCCTATGAACATGTATAGTCAAAATGTTCCTGTTCCTACAACGGTTCCTGTTCCTGTAAGTGAGACTTCAGCTTCATTTTTAAATTGGCATCCATTCACATGCCTCTGTGGGACCACTTTGTGTTGTTGACTGTTCTCAGTCTGGTCTATCTAAAGGATTGCAGGATGCTGCAGCACTATTTATTGAAAAAGCATTCGAAATCTGACAGTGGCGCTTAATTTCCTGATTGTTCCTTAGGTCCTATCTGCCAGCTTTCAGTGTGAAAACCTTGTGCTGCTGGACTTTTTAGGAATAGTTCTGAGTGATACTTTTGAGCTTGCTGAATAAGCATTAAACAGCAAGATTTTTTCTTGTAGTGGGGAAACTGAAAGGTGGTGTTGGGGAGGGATGGCAGTGTGGGATAAACAGAAGGAAGAAAAGCAAAAAAACCGAACCTTGTGCAAGCAAAAGAAAATAACTTTAAGTTAAATTTGTTATCACTTATGTACCAAATCTCATCCAAATAGTGGAAAAAAAATGGAATGCCTAAAATTCCATGTCACAAGCAAACCACTAAAACAGGATGCTGACTTGTCCAAACTGTTAGTCTGAAGTTATAGTCAGACAGGTTAGAAGCTCCAGAGTCCCTTCTGTTCTTACTTTGACCCACTAGATTTTGTCGTATTTAGGGTTTTTTCTGTATCCTTTCCTGCTTTTCCATCTGTTCTCAATCATTTATATTGAATTTTTAACCTGTCAATGTGTTTTTTGTTAGCCCACACTGAAGTGATATGTTTCTATTCTGTATTAACTGTTTTAGAAGAGGAGTGTAGAGTTTGTTTCTGTTTGACTGCTGTAGATACTTTGTTGCAGCATTTTTTTTTTTCTTTCCTAATTACCTTTTCCTCCCTGTCTGCATAGGTGCCAGTTCCAGTTTTCCTGCCCACTACTCTGGATAGCAGTGAGAAAATCCTTACAACAGTAGAAGAGCTGAGGGGAAAAGTGCCCTCAAATCCTCTAGAAACTGAGCTACTGAACTTGTCAGGGATGGTACCTGAACATGGTGGAAAAGCTGAAGCTTCTGATGTGGCCAGTGAGTTTCCTACTGAGTTTTTGACTCTTTGAAGTGCTGGGGTGGATATGTGGATGTGTGTGAATCAAGTGAAGGGTTGGGTTTGGTTATTTTTTTCCTCTTAGGGAAAAATCTTTGAGTACAACAGTGCTATTATTGAGTTCTTATATTAAGTTGAAATCTTAATTATTTAAATATTTTTTTAAAAAATCATTTTAGCATATTTGAAACGCAGAAAATTTTCTGAAGTCTGTTGCGTGACTTCGGTGTGCTGTACCAGACCTTTGTCTTTAAAAGCACAGGCATTCCCTTTGCTTGTGCCAGCTCCTTGGCTGATGGCAAGCGGTCATCCGAGATTGCACCCGTGTGTTTTCTTCTCAGCGTAACTCAAAACAAGCCCAAACCAATCCATTCTTCCTCCTAGAAAAACTCAAGTCAAAAGTTTAGCAGAAGTGATCTCTGTAGCTGTGTCTCACAGGTGCGAACACAACTTTCTCTGAACAAGGTGGAATATGACGGGGATCTGATTCCTTTGTAGTAACACTTTAGGCACATTTTACATTGGGTGTGGGGAAGCAGGGACTATTAAAACTAAGAGAAGCATACATTTCACAAGTGGAACGAAGGTCAACAAAACCAGGTGACCTAATGATGCTTTCGCTCTTGATTGATCCTGACCTGCAAGTATCATTTCTTTGAAGATAGTAATGCATCAGCTGATAGATCATTGGGGTTGTGATGCTGAAATGGCTTGTCATCCCAGCAGCTCACCTTAAAGGAGAGAACTGTCCTCCTTAAAGGAGGACAACTTTTATAGCTGATGATCAAAAAATCCCGTATATCCTGTGATGATATTTTCACAGTGCACGTATCTCTTTGCCCCCCTTTTCTGGCTCTGCCTGCCAAAATCCTCAAGTTCCTTCTGTATCTTCCTAGGAGAATTTGCTTTTTCTTCCAAAAACTAGATTTTAAGGTTTAAACTAGATTTTAAGGTTTTTCCATGACTCTGGTGAAATTTTGGTTTTAAGACTTCAACAGATTTTGCTTTTAAGACTTTGTTGTTGTTGTTGTTTTAAGAGATCAACAGATGTCTTAAAGGATGTTGATAAATGACATCAACTTACGCTTTGTGCCTGGTATATAGGAGGCCAATGGTGCTGCAGTCCCAGAAGGCTCACTGTTTTCCAAACTGTTGCCATTCCCCCACAAAAGCTGGACGTTTGTGGTAGTGCTGCAGCATTGTCATTTGCAGTTCCTTGCTCCCTTCTGCTAAGTACGGGTAGCTGAATGAGTAGATGTATGGAATCCAAGCTTGCTCGTTTGCAGAGAACTGCATTTGTAGAAATCTGTCTGTGCCAGAAGTTGGAAAGAGGTCAAGCTTTTGTTTCTGTCTGCCTGCCTTGTTTACTTTAGGGGGTCCCTTTCACAGACTCGAAAGTCTGTTCTGTTGTGGGCAGAATCTTCTAGAAAAATGATAGTTAGGTCTGTCAAGCTTGTTTGAGTTCTGTGAGTGATTGATATGATCCTGATTTCCCAGTATTTGATTTTTTTTTTATACTAGTGCTTTGCTGATTCATCTTAATGAAGAAGGACAGATGGGCTAGTTAAGTATCCCTTCTGTATGAAGGAAATCAGATTGGAGAAGTACATCTGAGATCCCAAGAACAGCAAAACCTAGGATGGTGATGAGCAGAGCAAGCAGTTTTAGAGCCACTCAGCTTCTAATGTTCTAAATCTGCCCTGTTTTGACTAATCCATGTGTTGGTTAAAATACAAGAGATTTTCCTTTTTTAAAATGTTATTTATTTTTATTTACAGATGTGATAGCTGAGTCAAGTCTACCAAGCTCGGAAACAGAGGCACGAACAAGCTTGCCCGATGTTCCGTATGAACCAGACCTTGATATTGAAGTAGACTTTCCAAGAGGTATTTTTTCTGTCATTTTAATATCTATTGTGAAATAGACATTGTGGGCAGCCATTGCATTTTTGATTGCAAGATTCAGTTGACTGACTCTGTTAGGTAAAACTTAGCCATGCCTTTGCAAGTTGTGGGCTTCTGAATTAGTTACTCGATCTTTCTAGATACGGTATTTGAAACAGAATGCAAAGAAAAGGGGGAATTAACCTTTCACAAACAAACTTGGCTGCATCACTTGTTTTTGGATGTGGATTTAGGAAAACTATTTTGAAAGCTCAAAGACTCAGATGGCAAATGTCGTGGAAAACAATAATGAGTCAGTCACCAGATATTTCCATGGGAAGTAGTGGTTTAGACCAGAAATGACAAAAGGGCAAATTTCCCACTCAAGTTTGCTAGAAAATTGCAAGCTGGTATGCTGCACATCACTTGTGTTACCTTTTAGTGTCTTGTTAATGTCCATACCTGTATTTGAAAAAGGTAGCGTTATTTGAATTAGCAGGAAAATCACTACTATGAGACCTTTCTTGAAGGAAGGTCTTGGGTTTATGTATTACAGTTTCTACCACGCTACAGAATGCAGGCAACAGTGTTTGTTTCCTTGTACATTGTCCTAATCAATCCAAGATAGCTCCTGGCTGTAGCTAGTCTCTCCCTTGACATAGTGTCTCTTGGACATATAACTCATACCTCCTCTGGATAGCTTTTATATCTGATGTTGAAAGTCCCCTTTTGCCTTGTGTCATAGATATCTGCACTGGATGCCCAGACTCGGTTTCTCAGTTTTCTCTATGTCTAATGTAAAGGTCAAGTCTAGGGGTTAGTCTGACCTTAGTCTTAAGAAGTTTATTAGCCAGATGCATACTAGATTTTTAACCCTCTTTATAAGTGATGCTTGGTGCATGAGAGAGAAAAACCATGGAAGAAGAAAATAATCAAAGCGGAATAGTAAACAGTAGTTTGTAATAGATACTGATTATACTGACGTTCTTCTGAGATGAGATTCTTTGTGGTAGCAGGAGAAGGGCTGGTGTTTAGTCTGGGGCAAAGTTCTTAAACCCTTGTATGTGAGTGCTATTAAATCTGGACCAGTTTGAATGGTGTCTTGAATAGTAAGGTAGTGAAATCAGACTATCAGAAGAGCATTCAGCTTTGAATGAAGACACTGTTTGATGGCTAAATGAGGGATGAACCATCTTCAGTAAAGTAAATAAAGGTGTGACTTGCAACTTAAATCCATTCATATGTTGTTTTATTCCACTGTGTTGCCTTCAATCCTACCCCTGAAATGTTAAATAAATAGTATTTTAACATATTACCATATATCCGCCATGAGCTAGACCTCCACCATTTGTATAAATATAGACTAAAATCAGGGGATTTTATCTGAAAGAGTTTGCGTTCTGATTCTTAATGTTTTTAACCAAGTATAATGTGCTATATAAAATATAAAACATAAATAGAAGTGACAGAAATACGTGAACAAAAGTGCATGTAGTAAGTTAATTTGTATTTTTTTCCACTCATAGCTGCTCATTCTCATTATAACTTAAGCTTCTTAATAACAAAGACTGCCTGGGCACAAAAAATTATGTAAGAGTCTGTAGTAAGAAATCTCACCTTAGTGACTTGGTCTAGTGGTGGGGGGTTGGAACTAGATGATCTTTAAGGTCCCTTCCAACCCCAACCATTCTATGATTCTATGACTTGAGATAGTGCTTGAAAATGTTGAGCATTGTATCCTTTACAATTTATTTAGAAATAAACATTTTGATAGCTTTGCCTTACTATCCAAATAAGAATAGTTCCTCTTACCAAAATGAAAGCTGGAGAGGGACAGTTTACAAGGGCATGTAGTGACAGGACGAGGGGTAATGGCTTTAAACTGAAAGAGGGTCAATTTAGATTAGGTATTAGGAAGAAATTCTTCACTATGAGGGTGGTGAGGCACTGGAACAGGTTGCCCAGAGAGGTTGTGGAGGCAACCTGGTTGCTTTGGGCAACGTAGTCTAGTGGAGGGTGTCCCTGCCTGCAGCAGGGGGGTTGGAACTAGATGATCTTTAAGGTCCCTTCCAACCTAAACCAGTCTATGATAAATCCCATCTTTGGTAATGTTTATGTGTGTGCTTTTGCGGACCCCTTATGTTAATACACACTGTTCATTGGGGTTTTTTATACTAATATTATCCAAAAGATGTTTAGAAATAAGCTTCTGTTAATGTATTTTCAGCAACTGAGGAGCTTGATACAGAAAATGAGTTTTTATTACCTCCTGTTTTTGGGGAAGAATATGAGGAACAGCCAAGGCCTCGGTCCAAAAAGAAGGTAATTTTGTCATGCTATTAAAAAAACCCAAAACATGACATTTAAGTGGGCAAAAATATGCCAATTTTGGAGGTTTTTTTAGTTCTCATACTGCTCTAAAACATGCTACTGCCTGTTCGTACCTAATAGCCTATTTTTATGATGTAAATTGATATACTTCAAATAATAAAATTATTTCAGTCCTATGTTTGTTGGAGTTAACTGTTGGATTTAATAGGAATGTGATTTCTAAATTCTGATCCCATTTGTGCTTCACATTGGTAGAAGCGTTGATGTAACGTGCTAGTGTACTCTTAGTAATGCTTTTCTACCTTCTACTTTGAACAAAACTATCTTAGTTTTATTTGGTAGTAAAACGGAAGAACGTTGGCATTACCATGGCTTATAATGGGAGCTATAGCATCTCCTATGCAAAATAGTTTAAAAAAATATTATTTGTTTGGAATTTTCCCAAATATAATTTTCAGTCAAAAATCTTAGTTTAGACATTGCAAATAAGTTAGCCAGATCATTATATTTAGAAAGCAACTAACAGAAAATAGAGTTTCTGGTGCCTGGCACAAAGCTGAAGTGGTTTTGTTGCAGTAACTGCAGTAGATATTGAAGCTTTAAAAAAAAAAACAGCCAACTTCCAATAAAACTTTCTAAGAATGAGTGTCTTTCTAGTTTTAAATTTGGAGTCTAAACTTTGTCGGTATTGTCTGCTGGACATTATCCGTATATATCCAGTGCTTGACATGCTTTAATTTGGGACCAATTCTGGCTTTTCCATTGATGGGTTCAGTTGAGCCTAAAAGTTGACCTTCTGACATAGATTTGTAGGATTTTTAACTTCCTGCACATTAACACAATGAAATCCTATAAACACACTGAATTATTTGGTGCACCATGTGTTTGTTGCTTAATACGATGTAATGAATACAGCAACTCCATTATCAAAAGTTATTCTGTCTGTGTTAGGAACCAGTTTGAAAGAGGAATTAGAAACATCCGTCAGCTTAAGTAAATAGCGTCCTTAGAAGTATGTTCAACACAGAAACTATCTACTGAAAGAAGCATGTGTTTCTTTACGCTGAACCTTCAGTTTGTAATTTGGTTTGCAGCTTTGCTTATTCTGCCCGGTTATTGTCGTCAGCGTCTGTCGGCGGTGTTAACCACTGTGTTTCAATGGCAGGGGGTGAAGAGGAAAGCAGTGTCAGAATACCAGTCTCATGATGACAGCTCTGAAAACTCAGAGTGTAGTTTTCCATTCAAATACGCGTATGGTGTAAATGCATGGAAGCACTGGGTAAAGTCTCGGCATTTAGATGAAGAGCTTCCAGAACTAGAGGAACTGAAATCAAGTAAGTATTTCCAAAAATCTGGCATCCAGATTTTTATTTGGTTGGGAGAATTGCCGTACTCATCTGGTTATCAGCTGGAATTTTTAATAGAAGTTTTCACATGTTGCTAATGTTCCCACAATGACTGCGATTATTTTACCAGAGTTGCCAAACTTTTTTTTTTTTTCCTTCCCACACACCTACCCCTATTAAAGCAGTTTTCCCTGCTTGGTTCAAAATGCACTTCTCATGTGAGCCAGGACAACACCTTCCTGGCTTTTCTGACTTCTTGTGGCCTTTTTTTTTTTTTTTTTTTTCCCCTAAAATCCTGGTTTTTTTCCTTGTATTGTAACTCACCTTGGAGTTCACAACTTTTCTGGCCACCTTCTAAATTGCAAGGGAGAGGCATCCTACTCTTTGTCCTGGAAAGGGGGTCTTCATCTGAGGCTGGCATTACCTGGCTGTGGAGCTCTGACATGAGGTGGCCTTCACTCCCGTGGAGCCTTGCTGCTCTTTCTGCAGCACTCCTCTGTGTCAGCGTTTGTACTGTGAGGGAGAAGGAGGATTGCTGCCACTCCTGCCCTTCTTCAGCTCCCACGTGCGTCTTGGCACCATTGCATTATGCTGTTGAATCTTTGGAAACTGCCGTTTCCCCAAAGGTCTCCCTCTGCAGCACTGTGTTCACTTCAGCATCTTAGGCCTCTTCTGTGTCATCCTCAGCTGTGCATGACAGTACCTTTGTCAGCAGGTGATACTGTGTTTGGTTAATTAGACTTTACTCTGGTGGCCTTGTTTATTTTAAGAGAGACCTAACATTTGAACTACTTAGTACATTTAGACTCATTCATTGGTTAGTGGAGAAGACATCAAGCCAGTTTTCCTGCTCTCCAGTCCAAAAATACCCCATCCCACCCTCACTGTGTAATAATACTGTTGTATAATGTAGCTTTTTTTTTTTTCTTTACAGCAAAGTCTGTGAAATTAAAGGAAGATTTATTATCACATACTTCAGCTGAGTTAAACTATGGGTTGACACATTTTGTCAACGAAATTCGAAGGCCAAATGGAGAGAACTATGCACCTGACAGCATCTATTATCTGTGTCTTGGGATTCAGGAGGTTAGTAGAGGTTGTAGAGATAGGAAGCAGAGCTGCTGAGTTGACTCTAACCCATTTTGGTGGAAGAATGGACATAGTGTGGATTTATTGGCTAGAAGCTCTTTTTAATATAATGGCTATGATCTGGAACACAGAGAGGCTGCTGTCTAAATCACATTGTAGAAAACTGTCTGTACAGAAAATGAGTTTGCAGACCCATCCTGAAAACTGAAATGTAAACTGGTAAATTGTAATAATTTTAAGCTTATTCTTGGGTTAAATCAAGGAATTTGCCGTCTAAAATGACACAGTTTTTCCAAATGCTGTGCTTCCTTTTATTTGCTAAAGATGGCTTAATGTAAAAGCGGGATGAAACAAGGAATAATCTATAAAGGTTTTATTAATTCAGTTACTTAGCGTATAGTGGAAACAAGCTATTTGAAGTGTCTTTTTGGGAGAATCTCATTTACTGAATATTGCAAACTGTGGGCAGTCAGGCTTTTTTGCAGAGTGCAGGAAACACTGCTATATTTACTGTCCTACACACACATGCTTCTGCCCCAAATTGCAATTACATCCTATTTCAAAGCAAAAGGGAGTCAGTTTAGATGTATTGTATGCGAAGGCAATAACATATCAATAGATAATTAGAAAAGCTATTCTACAGCTTCTTTTAAGCAGAGGATGTCTTAATTTTTGGTACACAAGGCAAATCATAGATAAAATAAGCCATGTTCAGAGCTGAGAAAACAAAAAAAATTTCATTCCATTTAAAAGGCAACCAAAAAATGCTTATGATGTGGAAAGCAAGCTGTTCATATGCTTTGCAATCCTTCTTAAACTTTTTTTTATAGTTAAAGTGGACTTGAATGAAGTACCAAATCTTTTAATCAAAATCTGAAAATAAATAGTATTCCACTAATTTTTCTGCATTGAGAGTAGGCAGAATTAAGGAATCAGTTGATATCTTTCCCCCATGGTTAAAATTTGAGAAGCAAGCATTCATTGTTTGGCATTTTTTTCAAATATTGCTACAAAGCACGTTTCAAATGCAGCTAGCTTTCTGCCGCTGCACTTGCATGATCTGCTGTCTCTCTGTATCTTTCTGTTGAATTGAAAATACTCATATTAAGCTGATAAAAATACATAGAGTTATGTGTTTTTTATAAAGTGGAACTTCACTAATATCTTTTCTTTTTTCATCTTTCTCTTTGTGCCTTTGACATTGTCTATCTTGTCTACTGTGAAAATTAGTTATGTGTAAAACGTTATTTTTTTTAGCTCAACAGAACCAACGTTTGTGTTGCACAACACAATTATAATAAGCCCTAATATACACAACGCTGGAACATTGTGGTCATGTTACCGTAATTACTGCTTATATTTAGTGTCCAGTATTTAATTTAGGTGATGTTAACAGCCCTATTTCTTTGGCCCAATTGTGCCACTGCTATACAGATGGGTAGGAAAATGCACCTTGTCCTGAAGAGTTTGCATTTCATCAAGGCAGGCAGGAAGCGTGGGACAGAAACACGTAAACCTGTGAGCTGTCTGTGTGCTAATGGCAAATTGTATGTACATGAATATGTGTTACCTTTCTGAAGAAACGGGCTGAAAGGAGTCAGTGGTACGCTAAATGCAACACAGTTGTCGCAATGTGCAACAGAACTCCATTGGCTTCTGGTATTTTCTTAGTCATTCTTCCCATTTGACAACCCTGATGTGTATACTCTTCAAAGAGAATAAATTGCTTGCTACTGCGTAACAGATACTGGCTCTGTTTAACTCAGAAGGGGCTCAGAGGAAATCAAATTATGCCATTTAAGGATAAAGTTGTGCCAAAGATCAGCGATGCTTTGCTAACTTGGAGTAAGCTTCTCGTCAAAGGAAGAGAATGTGGAAGCTGTAGGTTAGAAAAAGAGCGCTGTCCCCCTCCACCAGAATTACTGCATTTGCTGTGGCGATGTATAGGCTCAGGTCAGAGCTTTTCCTCCTGGGTATAATCTGGTTTGAGCACAGGAGAAGCGCAAGGGAAGCGCTCAGGAATCTTCAAGTCTTAAGGGGTTTTTATAACTATTTTTCTTAAAAGAAACACTTGGAAAATCTGTTCCAGCAAACTAGTCCCAGAGTCAAAGGAGTGCCTTTTCTCAGTTCAGGTTCATTTGCAGCTGAAATTGTTCTGCTTCCAGCCAGAAATGGTTCAATAATGGTTTTGATAACTCTGAAGTACTGGTCCTGAAAAATATCACACTGAAAAGTAAAGGTTGCATGGCCAGGCAGGCATCTAGTAGAAAGGGAGGATTCACCTAGAATCCTCTAGGTGTTAGCCTACCTCGCTCCCCTGCTGCATTGTGCCCTTCATTCTTTGTCCCAGTACCGATTGGGGCTTTTTGTTCTGTTTTGGTTTTTGCACGTGTAATAATGGAGTAGTTTGGGCAAAATTCAGGCTGATGGAGCTTGGCAGATGTTTGAAGGTGCTGTGGGTGGTGATTCAGCCTGTTCCCCACCATGGGACTCCGAGGTATGTTGGGTTCCTTCCCGTTCTCTGTGGTTTTGGTAGAACTCGTCTCAGGTGGAAACTGGTTATGCTAATCCCGTCCCCTCTAGAGTTTGTAGAGTAGTAGAGCAGTGTAATGCTGTGGAAATGGCAGTTTGCGGATGCGTGCTGGTAGCAGGGGAGACTGCACCATGACATCATTCTTCTGTAAACCCTGCAGTGCTAATGGTCTGGGGTGCTTCACTGGTTTCTACTGGAGAGGTCAGAGTTTAGCCAAACGCTTACTCTGAACCAGGAAACAGAAATAATTTTTAGTTGAGTTCTCACAGGCTTGTATGGGAATTGGTTTTGAACCAATTTTCAGTTTGATTTCAGTTTTGCTGCCAGCGTTCAGTCTGAGTGTTTAATGCAAACCAGAGAAAAAAGAAAATTCATGGAGGAAAAATGTGCCAGGGAACAGAGGGGCAAATGCTGTGAAGCTTATAGTAAGCTGTATTGTCTGGTTTAGAATTCCTTTATAACATCAAAACTGATACATGTAGAAACAAGCACATTTTGAGGAATATTGTGCTTTGAAGAATTAGTTAAATGTATCATATAAAACAGTTATCTAAATGAAGATGTTGTGTTGGAGACTTCTAGGAAGTGTATTCATTTTTCCTTATAAAACTGAGTGCAAAGATAAGGAAGTCAAGATACGCTGAACCACCTAGTATGAATGAGTGCTGTGTTTAATGTTATTTCAAGTATGTGTACAGAAATAGATGCCATTTCCAGAAGTGAGTACATTTTTTGTGTGTGTCACTTTTATTGTATTCACTAACAACAAGCTTGGTCATGCAAAGATAACACTGAAGTGGAAAATTTAAGAAGCCAATCCTCTGTTTCTTAGAAATGCCTCCAGAGAGGATAATGTCAAATACTAGTATAGCCCTCAGCCACTAATTCTTGGTAAAGGTTCAAAAGAGTTTCTGTCTGTAAGGTCAAGAGGGTTAAGATAATTAGATTGCAGAATAGGCAGGGGCCTTGCACCATCCTATCTTTTTTTTTTTTGGCACCGTTGCGTATCATTACTACAAATATATAGGGGTTTCTTTGCTCCGACTTCTGTGTTGAAGATGCTTTTGTCAGTGTTCAGATTTCACATTTAAAATCGCAGGTTCTTGCTAAACATTTTTTTCTTTGAAAACTTAGATGGAGGAAAAGATAAATTAGTTGTTTTTTTTTTAAAGGACTCCCCCCAGTCACTGATTACAATGTTGCACGCAGGAACATTTTAGAGAAAAATGTTAGAGTTGTAATTAATCTATGATTCATATCCAGTTAGAAATTTACCACAGACATTGTATTGGAGATAATTTTTAACTGCTAAATATCAGAAAAGTGTCATTGCTTTTTTTTTTAGATACTGGGGGTTTTATGGCAGTGCAAGCATTGTACTGAAAAAGAATCCTGTAGCACAGGATTTGTTCTAATCTGGAATTGTAAATATTGTCTGTCCTTCTCTTCCCTGTAGTATTTATATGGAAGTAATCGAAAAGACAACATATTTATTGATCCAATCTACCAGATGTTTGAACAGGAATTAAATAAAATCCTTAGAAGTTGGCAACCAAGCATACTTCCAGATGGTAATTTTCTTTTTGGTCATGTATGTTTTTCATCTCTTAATAGTTCTGTGTTCTTAAGCATGTAGATATGTTCAAACATGTTAGGCATTGCAATAGTAATTGATTAAAAATCATAAAGATCTCATCTAAGAGTTCAGTTAAGACTGTAGCTGTTCTTATTGTCTTGTTTCTTGGTAATCCATGCTGCAAGAGTTGATTTTTGCCACCGCCCGTTAAGCTTAAATTGACTATCTGTTTTCAGGAGAGAAAGTTACAATAAGCAGTTGCTCTTCAACCTGTACTTTTTACCCAAGCTGAGTTATTTTTTTGCCCATGTGAGTTCTCAGATGGGAAGCAGACAGGCACTGGGCTATGTGGGTAGGGCTGATGAGTCCTGTATTTAGTCTTTCCCAGCTGGATTGGGAGGGCTGTCTGCTATGAGCCTCCTGCTCAGGAGGATCGTCAGTTCATGGAGAAAAATGGAATTTTCCCCAGCAGATCGATGTTGGTGCTGAGCTGTGGAATCCACTGTTCTTCCATCTCTCTCGCAATCCTCTCTTGAGTTGAGGGCTCATCCTTACCAACCCCTTTCCTCTCTCTTCTTGATACTGTCTTTTCTCTCTGTAGCTTTGGAAGGGCTCTACACACGACCTTCCCTATACCCTGATATAGCCTAGGATGAGTGCTTTGCAAGTGAGGTATCCATTAGCCACAAGAAAGAAGAAGGTATAGCTATATGGAGGCCTTGCCTGAGCAGAATAAAACGCACTCAAAAATATGCTTTTTATGAAGGGATTAAGATTAGCCCCTTGAACATTTGTTTTTATGTAATAACACGAGGGAGCCACATGTAAGCAATGCTGCTCAAGTAATTAAACAGACATGTGCTCTGTCTGAAATGGCCTATACTGATATTTCCCATTGACTGTCTCCTCCTGAAACAGTGAGTGTCTGTGTCTTTACGAGGTGGTTTTGGGGGTGTGGACATATAATTAAATATGCTTATTAGAGGCTTCTCTCATGAGCATTTTGTTAAATTTTATAGCAAACAGAAACTTGATTCTTTTACACTCGGGTAGTTTGTGGGCAAATCCATTGATTTTCTCTAATACTCTTTTTTTTGAAGGATCAATATTCTCTCGAGTTGAAGAAGATTACCTTTGGAGGATTAAACAGCTAGGATCACATTCACCAGTTGCTCTTCTGAATACTCTGTTCTACTTTAACACTAAATATTTTGGCCTGAAAACAGTGGAGCAGCACTTAAGACTTTCTTTTGGCACTGTTTTTAGACAGTGGAAAAAAAATCCTCTAACAATGGAAAGTAAAGCTTGTCTTCGCTATCAAGTGTCTTCCCTGTGTCGAGCTGATAATGAAGGTACTAAGGCAGTTCCAAAATAAGTATTGCAGGAGCATCCACATTGCGCTCCTCTGAGGGACATCTGGGCACCTTGCCAGGAGCCAGAGGTCTGCTTTAGCATAAAGTTTAGCAGCTCTTGGCTCCCGGATCTTTAATCAGAGTGTGTGGTCCGTGGAGACTCCAGGGTCTCTGCGTTAAATGATCCCTTTGAGCCCACTGGTCTCCGTGCTTAAACACTGCGACTTTGTTGTGGCTGTGGGTTGCATTTCCAGATTGCAGATATGCGTAGTTGTGGCGACCGCGTTGTGGTGCTTGGTGGGCTGCGCCCTCTGGGAAGTTTACTGAAAAAGGTAAAATAACTTCAAGTTATGGCTTAGATGTTGTTGATTTTCTTCTTAAAGATAAAATTACTACTGGAAAAAGGAAACATGAAGATGATGAACCAGTATTTGAACAAATTGAAAACACGTCTGATCCAGCTAGATGCCCTGTGAAAATGTTTGAGTGCTATCTCTCTAAAAGGTAAGTATGATATGGGGTAATACAGGAGTGGTCTAGAGTCAACCAGGTACAAAAAGGGACACGTTTTGATGCAACATGAAATACACTCAAGCAAAGGGAATGGATTGAGATCTTCTGAAAAATACCTAAATGAAGGCATTGAAATTTCCTGCACGTCTTGTCCAGATACAGAACTGGAAGTGTGGGAGCAGCAGAGTAACTTCAGTGTTAATTGTCAAGGACTCCATCTGGGAATGACAGTACGATTCAATTTTCTTACTTGGAAACACCAAGTATCTCTGCAGAGAATTACCAACAAGGGATCTGGTAGGTTTTGCTACTGAGGGTTTTGTTTGTGAGGTCCCTGTCTCTTCAGTAAGAATTGAACTGGGACAATGGATTTGCTTAATGTTAAGTTATCAGGAGTTTGAACTGTAGATGCTTTTGAAATATCTAGTGTGAAAGCATGTTTAAAATATTTTGTAGTTGAAAAAGATATTACTGACAGTAACCCAGCATTTAGAAATAGTTTGTTTCCTTCCAATCTGCACATAAATTAATACATTAAAAAGAAAAGCTTAGGCAGCTTTAAACAACAACAACAACAAAAAGTAGCAGCTAAGTGTTTTGGAAGTGTTTGAAAACAGGATTTCATGGGAAATACTTTTCTTTAAATGGAACAGCCATTCAAGTGACTGAATTTAATGTAGGTTTTATGTAACTCGAGGTGAAATATAGGCAAGTGATACCGAAGAAATAAAATCACATTGTATATACAATACAATAAATCAAATGAAGTGTGAGACCCAACATGTGTTAGGAAACAGCGTCTTATTCTTAAAAGTGAAGAAAGAGCTTACAGGCAATGCAGGCAGAAGAGCAAGCATGTGATGTTATAGAGAGAAACGTGTAAATGTAACTTGTGTTCTGTTAATGCAAGCACCTGTTTTTCATAAACTCAGTTAATTCTGATTGTTGCAGGGGTTTTTGTTGTTTTTTTTCCCTTCACACTATCCACTGTCATGGTTTGGAGAAGTTATATTGATAAAAGTTGAAGCTGGATTTTTGAACTGAGTTACACAGCCAGTAGCAGAGAGAGAACAAATAATTTCTTTAGAAACATCTCAACTTTGGGGAAAAGAATGCACTTAAACCCATTTGGATCATTATGTGTGGTGTGGTTTCAGGTCTTGCTGTCTTACGGATATTCGTCACCATTGCTGACTAGAGCAGCAGACTGCTTCTCCTGGTTCCACTTCCAATAACGTATACCTTGCGTGTTTGATGAAATAATTTTAATAAAATATTTAACACTTTAAAAGCTATTGTAAAATTTCTGGTAATGTAATTTAAGGTAATATTGTAAAACTATTGTAAAATTTAAGATAATGCTAGCAGTTTGAAATATACTTGGCAATCAGTGGACAGTTGCAGTAAAATTTCAGAATCCTCTCACTCACAGTGCTATATCATTGCTTGTTCCTATAAAAATAACTGGTTTGACAAAAAAGTAGGAAGGGGGTTAAAATATTTAAATTGTTAGAATATTTTAAACTATCACATTTTGGCTTCTTATCTGACTCTTAATCTGACTTATGTGAGAGCAAAACAACCCAATATACACCCCAGCAACACCTGAAACTTTATCAGCTAGTTTGGGAGGACGAGCTGGTAAAAATTCTTATTTTTACCAAACAAACATGAAATACAGTTGACCTCTGAAGTCTACAGTGTTTATGAAGGAGAGAGCATGAGTGAGCAGTTGTACATGCAGAATTGAAAATTATTTTCTGAGACTTGCCTAAATGGACAAAATGCTAGAATTTCTTTGAGAGGTCTTCTCTAATGGCTTGGAGGTTACATCTGAGCTGGATCAAGGGCGTATACGAACTCCAAAGTATAGCAGGTCAGGAATGAAAGGATTTTAAGACTTATAGTGACCAACCCTTTAAGTAAAGTAAGAGGAGGAGGAATTTTAGCTTAACGTAGTTCTGTGCATCTCTCAAAACTACCATCCTGGACTTTCAAGGGGACCTCAGGCTCTATGTTCAGAGACTGCTGCATCAGGCAGTGGTGCAGGCAAGTACTGATGTCAGTGCTGGGCATCTTTGCAAATCTGTCGATCAGGGGGTCCTAAATAGATAGAAAGCACTTTCTGGTTTAGCAAGTCCAGGAGTTGCAAAATTTTGAAAGCTGGAACAGTGTGTTGTCTCCGATATGCTTGCTCAGTCCCAGGCTTTTGGCTGGTCTGAGGACGCAGGAGTGGCTGGGCTTGGGCCAGATCCGTCACGGCTCCTTCTATGAACAAGACTGCATTTCTCCCCATTAATCTTCTTTTTGTAACTTGCCGAAGTACAATTAGAGTTTTGTTTGCAGAGGATGTCAGAAGTGCTAACGTACTGTTTTATCCTGTGAAGCTGTTTTTCTAACCCCTCTTGTTTTCCCCTCCTGTAGCCCACAGAATCTGAATCAGAGGACGGACATGTTCTATCTGCAACCAGAGTGCTCTGTCTCTGCCGAGAGTCCCATCTGGTACACTGCCACTTCACTGGACCGCAACACTTTGGAAAATATGCTCGTACGGGTTCTTTTAGTAAAAGATATTTATGATAAAGACAATTATGAACTGGATGAAGACATAGATTGAAACAAACTTCCAAAAACCGTCAAGAAAACAAACAGCATTAGATATAGTCATGCTGCTAGACCTTTACTATAGAAAACATTTCAAGTTTACCCTTTGTTTTATGAGTTTTGTAGCAGTGTGTACCCTCACCCGGGTATTACCATGTAAATAGTCTGTGAGTGAAAGTTTCCATTATTCTGCGTAGTGGTTTTAGGATACCTAACAAACACATTTCAGATTCTTTTTTTTATTATTTATTTGATTAGGTATGTTTGTAACTTTTTACATTGCAAAATATGAATGAGAATGTGCCATGTGTAATTTCCCCCCCCCTTGTAGTAAGAGACATCCATATTGCACAACTCTGCTGTTGGAAGCTCCCTTGAAAGGAGGCTCTTTTAATGGGTTCTTAAACCGGATGGTTGTGTATGGGTAGCAGTACTAAAGTTTAGAACTTGCTGTGTCTTTCAGAATTTTTAAATAAATTGTAAACTAATAGGTTTTTTACTTTTTAGTTACTGAAGCCTTATAAGGTTATGTAGAGAGATTCCATCTTATGTACCAAAAATAGACAAAAGAGAATGCTGTCAATATTGGTGTACTGTAATGTGAATCTATTCTGGTGAAAACATTTTTTTCGTTGCCCTTATTAAAACCTTAGTGTCCTTTCCTTATTTGTGACTCTCTCTCAATTGCCCCTACAAATAATATATATATATATAAAAAAATAAATGAATATAAGCTTAAAGCATGTGGTCATCAAGACATGTATTTTGTAAAAAACAAAGCCAAAATCCCCTCAAAAAAAAAACAAAAGGAAAAAAGAGAAAAGAAATGTCTGATGACAATGCTATATAATTCTTTTCCGTCTTTACTTTTCTGACCATAAATGCTGGTACCTCATATTACTGTAAATCTGTCCTTTGTAGCCTTAGGAAAAGGGATTTTAATGCTCTATTACGTAAAGTAATATGGTATGCTAAATTTTTAACTTTCCTTTCTCCTTGCATTCCTGTATTTAAATACAGTCAATACTTGACTCTGGGTGGGAAAATTCTTTTAACTAATGCTTCCATTCAAAAGCCATATGAGACGTGAAGTTGCAGAAAGTTGAAAGATAATTTTTTTTTGAAGAAAAGTCCTTTCATTTGTTCTATATCCTTTCATTGTGTTTACTTTGCATAAGGAGTCTGATTTCCAGATATACGTTTAGCTGCTTAAGATTTGTTACTTTCTCTTGTTTAACTGATGCGAGCAATATGGCGATTCATGCAATGGTTTTGCTATTGTACTGAAAAAACTGTAGTAGAATATTCTACTATAAAGTAGTCAAAAGTTTGGGTCTCCTAAATGACATTAAGCATCTGTTGAGAGGAATCAACTACTAAAGGGGAAACTTTCTATATATATATATTACCACCTTAGGATTTATTTCTTGCAAGGGCTGCATGGCTTTTTCATTTTCCTTAGCTTAAAAGAATGCACATAGGGATGCCTCTTTCTATATAGAGAAATAAAGCTTCAGTTGCTTTGTTTTGTTAAGCAAGTTTATTTAAATTTCTGCTATCCTTGTGTGTTCGTGAGTCTGTATTAACTTTAGATATACCACTATTTCAAAGGTAGATGGAGATGTACATGTTTAATTTTTCTTTTTTTTTTTCTGGTGGCTCTGCCCTTCCTGCGAAATCAAGAAATGCTACGCAGCAACAGTCAATAGATCACTAAGAGCTTCAGTGCTCTTTTCCCTTTGTGAGTGAGTACGTAAGAACTTAGTTCATTAACACTTCTTTTTTTCAGACAACAGCCATTGCTCATGATACATAAAAGTGATAAAATCAGAAACCGTAATCATGGTTTTGGTCTGGCCTTTCCAGTTGAACACCTGACTTGACTATAAGTTGCATTTTATGTATGGGAATCATCATTACTAATTACCTGCCTAAAATGCATTATGTGCTTAATTTGAAATACTTCATTTAAACATACGCTTCAGTTTTTTGATAAATAGCAATAAGGATCACTCGTAGCCCCTTCTCTGTAGTTCAGACTTCAAGTACTTCAGCAGGGGCTTTAATCACTCTGTTTAGGACAGTGTTTAACTACAAACATATTTTTGTAAAACTGCAAACTTTTAACGTGAAGCTTAAAGTACCCTAAACCAGGACTAAAGTTACGTATGTGTGTGTCGAGTGTTTTGTCTTAAACAGAGTTTAAATTCTTGTTCTCAAAATGAGATTATAGCTGTTTCTTAAATAATGTCAGTTTTTAATATGGCATGCTGTACAACAGACATGCGTTTTCAGTGTCATGAGAAAATAATGAATGCTCCCTGAAGTTTATCAGGAATCACATTATTACCTTAAATTCCTCCCATTTTCTATCCAAGATTCACCTTCCATAAAAGTAAAAATACGCATTAGGTTTTGAAACAGAAATTGTTACACATAGATCCATGTTGGAAATATAAAGATGGTAGTCAAGAAAACAGCTTTTATTCCAGAAGATGGAGCTATTCCATCATCAGCAATAATGTTTTTCAAGTGTTTAGATTGAATGTTGTAAACTGCTGAGATTTACTGCTGTAAATTGCAGTCAAGAATGCACCATGGCTCAACGTGTGTGTTTTATTCCTACATTTGAGTGGTGATACAAAATGCAGTAAAAGGCCTTAGTTCTGAAAGAAATAACAACATGCAATTTTAGAATAATTAGTTCAGGGCAAATAAGTATTCTTTTTCTTTGTAAGAACTGTCAGCAGCTGAACTAGATCAGGTTGCTGTCAGGAAAACGTATGATGCCATGTTCTACACAGAGCTTCCAAGTCACTGATACGTATCAGGAACCTGCCCTCGCTTTCCACCTCAGGAGGATGTGAGGTGGCAGCCTGGCTGTTCGGGCCATCCCTGTGAGCTCTGGCACAGCTCACCTGAGAAGTCCGGCCTGGGCACTCTACTGCCCTGCCACACGGAGCCCTGCCGATGGCATGGGCGATGCAGTCCAGACGGGATTTTCCTAACTTCTCAAATCATGTCACCACGTGCTCCGCATCTCTGCAGTTTGAGATTTAGTTGTGAACAATGCACAAGTGACATAGGAGCCTCAAGATCTTAAGAAAAGTAGGTGGCAAGTTAGATACAAAATATAATCCAGTGTGAGAAACAGTGAAAAATTAATGCAATTTTCTGAAAAGAAATTTGTTTTGTTAGTCATCTTTTTTTCCCCTATAAATAATTGTGTGCAGTCATTGAGGAAAATGCAACTTTTTGTAATTACTGAACTAAGCATAAATTATGACAGTTAATTTTTACTGAACAAAAGGTTATGGCTGTGGATTAATTTAAATGTGTGCAATATTAATTATCTTTAAAATCTCACAGTGTCACTATAATGCAGCAAAATCTGTTTTCTTAGTACCAATGACTGTCCTGTGAGAGGCTTTGTGAACAGGTGGGGAAAACAGGAGAGGTGACACACAAACTTTGCAGTCCCTAAAGGAGTAGGTGTGTGGGATGGAGGAGAAAAGGCATGAGTGGTGGTAGGCGCTCGCCCCATTTCCACTTTCACTGACCTTTTTTTATCCTAGAACGGGTTTTTTTTCTGTTACTGTTAGGAATGGTAGTTAAATATTTTAATTTCCATTTTTGTACACATTCACTTTTCAGTTCATTACACTTATGTTATGCATTATGTGATACATGTTACGTGTAGGACCGAGTATGATGCAGAGTAAGTGAAGTGGGAACTTTTCGATTCCACTTGCACCAAGGACTGTGGGGACGCTCAATGAAACTGAAACCAAGAAGTTACCAAGATTTAACAGGGTGTTTTATCATCATACGTGAAACGAGTCTCGGGGTTATCACAGCAAACGCTACCAATGTTTTGGAAGCATTGAAGTTTGAGTTACCCAGAGCAAAGCCATAGGGTTTGTGTGCATCTCCTGAAAGCTTGAGACTGTGGTCACCGCGCAGGACACGCAGTCCCCAGGGGTTTGATTAAGTGTGGCAATTTCCACTTTCTCAAGTGAGAAATAAATCTTTCCTCTGGCAGCTTTTAAATTTGAAATGTTGAAACCTGAAAGCCTCAACACATGAGCCACGGCACGGATGCTTGAAACCAGCATGTAATGGGGCACGTGCTTCAAAACTTAGGCTGGTGTTAGTGTCTGTAACAGTAATTAATTAGCCATTTGTGTGCCCACGAGCACAGCAGGCATCTCACAATGCGCAAAGATGACGTGGGGGTTAGTGCCTGCTCATTGTGCCTCTCGGGTCGGAGCTGGCAGCCTCGGGCACGCAGCTCTGCCTGGCAGGGCCCCAGCTGGCTGCGGGCGCTGACGGGCAGCACTCCCCCTCTCCTGCCCGCAGGCAGGGCAGGACCTGCACCCCGCGTCAGAGTGTCTCTCGTGCTCTTTTCGTGGCGATCGGGGAGCTCCCGGTCACTTCAGAGTTTCTTGCTGTTGGTCTATGATGGAAAATGTGTGTCTGCAACATGAGCCAGGTTCATGATTGGGTGCGAAATAAATCTTGGGCAGGGAAGGAGCTGAAACAATAATTTAATCTCTTCCTCATCCCTTAATAAGGCATAATTGCACCTTAATGTTACCTTTACAAAAGTCTCTCTCCCCCCAACCCAGTTCTCCCAGAAAAAATACCAGAGAGGATTTGAGTAAGACACCAGTGTGGTAAAGAGCTTCAGGAGGGAGCGAGCGAGTGATTTATGTGATGGTGACTAGGCACACTGGTGGGCAAGGGGAGTGAGCAAATACACAAGGAGAAGGGACAGAAAAAAATTGCTTGTATCCATTTTGAACAACTAACAGGGTTTAGGAGTGCAGACTCTGATGATCCTTTTCGAGCTTCTGTCACGTGTTCCAACTTCCCGGATAGCCTGGCTCAGAGGATCTCACCCAGCGACTGCTGTGTGCTGTCAGTGGACACGGAAGTGAGGTCTGTATTTAAAAGGGCTTGGTCTGGCTAGTTGTATTTTCAGGATATCAGTGTGTTGGTGAGTATCTCCTCACCCAAGAACTTGTTGTCTTTATGGAATAAAGCCACTGATACAGCAGTCGTGGAACATTTACAAGTGCATAATTTGACTTGGGAAGGGTGCAGTTAAATCACTGTATCGTGTCCCGGGTGCTGGTGAGGTATCACAGCATTTTGATTAATTGTTTAATCAAATATTTTTCTATCTCCAGTGTCCTTTTGTTTTTTGTGAAATGAAAGGAGAAAATCTCTGAAGATAGCAGAGTCCTTGGAAAAATCCTTCAAGGACACCGTCGGTCGTTTCCTCTGTTGCTGGCAGGAGGAGATGGGAGCTGGCCATGGGTGAGGAGCCACAGGGTAGCCCTCTTCTTTGTCATAGCTGGGAAAAGCTGCCCAGACTCTGTTGCTCCCCTCATGAAGAGTGGTTTTACCCAGGCATTGGTGGCAGTCCTGGAAACACGTCTGAGCAGATGGTCACAAAAAGCAAGTAGAGAAAGAAAAGAAGATCAAGCTCAACTTCGATTTCTCGTTCAAGTAATTTTTCAAACTCCAGGGATGTGAATACGAATGGGACTTGGACAGTGATCTGAGTTTTGCTTTCTCTGCGATGCGGCGTTTCTCGGAGAAGTGACATGTAGCCCTTGGTGAGGGCCATTTCTGGCTGCCACCCTGCCTTGGGTCAAAGC